GATCTTGATTCTATCCCTCTGTTAATGCAGCCTAGCACTGTGTTGGCTTTTTTGGCAGCTGCAGCACACTGCTGGCTCATATTTAAATGATTGTCCACTAGGACTCCGAGATCCCTCTCACAGTTACTACTATTGAGCAAGGTACCCCCTATACTATACCTGTACATTTGGTTTTTCTTGCCTAAATGTAGAACCTTACATGATCTCTAATCATGTTTCAAGTCGCTCCTAAACATAGTTACATAGAAATTAGGTTCTTAGAAGCATATAAGTACAAAATTGTGTGAGAACCTTAATTCTAAACATGCTATTATGATCTGCATAATTAAAAAAAATTCTTTTAAGCATGGATAAATGTTTGAGCAAAACAATGAGCTGACTATTTTTAGTACTTTCCACCCATGAGTGGAAGTGATTGAAATGGATTAGATGGAAATTTTATTAATGGTATGGACCTTCAAACTTGTTTGGAAGGCTAGACACATTGCTATAAGATATTTTAAAATGAAAAACCAACAAACCTTTTGCTCCAGAGAGAGTCCTAAGGGAGGATATGATTCTCCTGAGACAGAGGTAGAAGTTGGGGAAAAGCAGCCTGAAGGGAACTGTTAAGCTTCTAGAATCTATACCTGATTCTGCCTTGGGCTCAGCCTTATTCATACTGAAAGCTGCTTTCTATTTATAATATGTAAATGTGTAAGCAGACTTGTTCACAAAAACTCTTTGCTATTCTTCTCTTGAGAGTGTAAAAACACTGCACTGAATTTAAGATCATGGTCCTAAAGTCTACTCAAAGCTCTCTTGTATTAGAACAAAGAGCAAGTTAAGTATGTTATTTGTTACTTGTTCAGAATGAACCTAACAAATAATTACCTAAAACCAGTCCTGAAATTATACAATTACTAAAAGACATTGGTCTTAGTTCAGGCACACTATTCCATTATTGCATGCTAATTTCCGGCAATCGCAGCAAAACAATTAAGAATAGAAGATCAAGAAATAATGTATAGTCCGTGTGATGTTGCCATCCAAAATTGCTGGTTGGAAAGAAACATTTTCTGTATGTAATGAGTGTTTTAAGGGTGTAGAAAGATCTGCTGTAGGCATCTCTTGAAGTGCCTTAGACTCATATTGAGTGATTTATTGTCAAAATAATTACTACCCAGATTATTTATTCTTTTAAAACTGATCAGTTGATAACATTCCTCTGAGTGAAGCTACTTGATTGTCAGTTTTATTACCTTATAAGTTGTAAAAGAAAATTTAAGAAAATAAACTCAATGTCAACAACTTTTATGATCAATATGAGATAGTAATTTAGGATAGTTAATTATGGAGCATTTGAACTCTAAGGCAGAGTTCCCCAACCTTTCTGGCTTGGCGGCCCGGAATGAAAGGGAGCAGCAGGAAAATGTGCGCATGCGCAGTCCACGCCCGTATGTGCAAACGTGTGTGTGTATGATGCCCACACTAGCATGTGTGCGCATGCATAAGGGTGCCATGTGCCCCCATAGTGCGCCCGCTGGTGCCTGCATGCATGCACAATGGACCCTGCACACCCACATTACGCTGGCAATGGTGTTAGCATCCCCGTGTATGCGCAAATCGGACTGCTAGTGCCCATGCGGCGGTGCTACTGCGAGTGGGGTGGGGCTCTCCAGCTATTCCTGGGGCCCGGTGGCCAACAGGCCATGGTCCAGTATCGGCCACAGACTATAGGGTCGGGACCCCTGCTCTAAGGATTTACAGCATCACCCAGCCATTGCTGTAGCAATACATATCCTGCTTCAGTGAAGATATATTGTTACAATATTTAACTGCTTGATGCTTTAAATTGCTAGTGCAGAAAGGCTCAGTAACTTGTTACTACTCATTAAGTTTGGTTCTATTTTGTTTTTGTTCTTATTTTGACTTTTATGTAATCAAGAAATAAATTCAAAAGTTAAAAAAAGACTTAATCATTGCAGTAATATCAGCACATTTCTCATCTTGTCAGCACATGGATTTTCAGAATGCTCAAGTCAATTTTAAAATAGTAACTAACATAAGTAAGCATTACAAGTCATCAAATTTGATGAGGTGATGATAGGTAGTCTTAATATAGAGCTTAAAAATAAATTAAATAAGTAGATTGCTTTTTTCAGATATATTATATGCACCATATGGAATAACTGTAGATGGGCGCATATGCAAAAATTTCCCTTTGTTTTGACCATGTAATATTTTTATTCTTCCAAGAATATTGCAATTGCAGATATGTAATTTTTAATTTATGAATTCATTCACAGTTTAATTTGAATCATAACTAATATATAAAAATCTAAATGATTGTGCAGCCTAACTTCTTAAACCTACTTTAAAAAACAAGTGGTTGGGACAAATATCTTGCTAGAAACATGGCAACCTAAGGGTATAAGAAAAATAAGGAAAGATAGAAAGATATAATAGACAACACAGAGAGACAGATTATCCCCACTTGAGGAAATGCAGATTAGTCAAACTTTGGTTTAATTTTGTTTTGTAAATTCACAATTCCTCAAAAATTCAGAATGCTTTTCCAAATATGAATATATTTACTCTCACATTTTTGTTATATCTCCAGTAAAGTTCAAATAACATTTTTGCATTATTCACGATGTATTAAAACAGTTGAGGTGGCATGAATGATGTTGATTTCAATGTAACTATTTGATGATAGATAGTATAAATGTACATTGATTACTCACTTTATCCATAATACTAATTTTGAATGTGAATCATATAAATAAGCAAAAGAACTGTGGATAGATCTGAAAGTACATATTTGCACACAAATGTTTAACATTGCACATATGGTTTCAGTGACATAACTAGGCCTACCTACATTAAAGAATACATAAACATGCACTTTTAGATACAATACTGCTTACCTATATATATACATCAGCATCTTTAGGTAAGGGACTGGTGTGGATAAAGGAGAGAAAGAAAACAATAGATAATACTTCCTAAAGAACTTACTCTTTGTGACAACTCCTTCAAGGCGAATAATATTTGGATGATCAAATTGTCCCATGATACTAGCTTCTCGTAGGAAATCCCATCTCTGCCTTTCCACATGTCCACCTTTCAAAGTTTTAATGGCTACAGGAATCTCTCTTTTCCCAGGTGTTTTTAGGCGACCACTGCACACTTCTCCAAATTCACCTAACAGCAAGATATATAATTATAACCATTTACTATCTTCTAATATTTTAAATATGTGAATAAATATATGAAAATATTATGGCAAAATAATAAATAAATAAAAAAAACCATACATACTTATGCATGTAGGTGATTTACAAAAAAACGCATCTCCCCCCAATTCCTGATTAGTAAACTCAATTAGTTACAAATGAAAGCACAGGATAATAGACAAAGTCACACATTTATTACCCAAAGCAATGTTCAAAGTTGTATAGTATCAAAAGAGATTATATTTAATTTCTTTTCAGTGATTATAACTGATTTTACGCTATTTCTTTTATTATGGGTACAGTGATACAAAACCATAATAATCTTCTCTGGTCTAATGTAATCTAATATTATATTGCAGACATATAAGATTATACATAATGTGGCCAAGATGTCATCTGAATAGATCTAAACAGAGGGAGTCATTCCCATATGCATTCCCACCTAAAACTATAAACTATAAAATAATATACATACAAACAATATATAATATATTTCTCAACAGCAATCAGAAGATAAACAGAAATTTTGCTGATCAGGACTGAAATGACAACATGTTAATATTGGTTAACATGGTAATATTACCACTATATTAAAGTGCACTTATTAATCATGGGAAATTTTGATTATTTTTTACCTGCCCCAATAACTCTCTCAATACGAATTCTTGTTGAATCTATCTCCTTTGCAAACTCATGAACAGCTAGGGATGGATCTTCATAAGTATCTGGATCAATATATGTTTTGGTTCCTGGTAGTCGTACTGTAAAATCAGAAATGTAGTTTTTGCATTATATAGAAATAATTGCAGCATTTAAATTAAAAATAAAACAAATGAGATCATTAAGGAATACTAATACCCATAATGAAATGTAATACTTATTATTGTTCTAAACTGCTTTGTTATTCTAAGCTGTTACTCATTATTGTTTAATTAACACTCATCCCAAACTGGCTGTGAAAAGGCTGCAGATGGAAAAAGGTAATAGCCACTTTATATATTAGAAAGTATGCAAATGAATACAATTATAATAGGGCCAAGAAAGGAGAGAAAATTAGCTACTTTTTTTACTTCTTTAATAAAGGAGGGGTGAGGTGAAGATAATTAGATGGCAGCATGGGTTTCTCTAATCTAAATACAGTAATATGGCATTGAAGGATAAATGTTTACATTTTCATTTCCTTTAAGACAGGGGTGTCAAACTGCTGGCCCTTGGGCCGGATGCGTCATGCAAAAACCACACCAACCCCAGCTCCGGCAATGGGAAAAAGTCACGATACATCACG